TTCGAACACCTCTTGAAACACAATTAGTTTCACAAACATTTTAGGAATTATTCATTTTAAGCCTTCAATTGTATATTTTTTTTTTTACTCAGAATCTGATGCTTCATTAAAATTCGAGAAAAATTATTGGGCATTGTAGCGAGAAGTCAAAAGGTCCTGCGGGGGAGTGTGGTAAGCTCGAGGTAGATCGTTTAGAACGCCGGACATTATTTGCATCTACAATACTAATATAATTATGACTACTTAGACTAAATAAACAGGCTATTTCATTAATTCGAAACAGCCTCCTATGCGTGACATCACGCATTCATATGGGCAGAGCTGATAAGCTTTATTATACATATAGGTGACAATTTATCCCAGAGACACAGAATTATAAAAATTTTCATTGAATAAAATGTGTACTTCCCTGTTTGTCTCACTGTTCATTTTATGATCACCCGTAACAAATTATAGTGTGTTTCAAACAGAAGTTAATTAAATTTGTCAAAGGTAATCGCAAGGAAGGAACTCGATACTCCCACGGCGTTTAAACTTTTGAAAAATTTTCTATGTAACTTGCTGCATTGAGTAAAGCGAACGATAATTAAACGCGTGAAATTCGTTTACCTCCGAACCTGCCAATTTTTCTGTCCTCTATCCCCGCCTTCCTTTTCTTCCTCGCATCGTTTTTATTTACTCGTAAAGTTCGCGTAGCGAGCGAAGCATCGAAGATCGATCGAAACCCGTTAGAAAGTTTCGAAGTTGACTCACGTACGCGATTGATCGCATTTCGCAATCTTGGCAAAGTCGATTAGGAATCGAAGCTACGAAAGGGATCGGATTTCGGCAATTAGATCGAGACAGATGGACGAGGATCATTCCTCGAAACATCGAATCTTTTCCTTAAACTTCGTTGCAACAATTTTAAAATAAAACGATCGCTCTTTCCGAACGTTTAGACTGAATTTAAACGTCGTTATCGACGAAACGCGGTTTCAACGAAGTAGATCTTCGATCGATGTTTGACTTCCGGACTTGAGACACGCTGTTCGGTGATTCTCTTTACCGAGACGTCGTCGTCGTCGGCGCCCAAGCAAATGAGTCGAGCGAGAATTGCCTCGCGACTCGACGCGACGCGGCAAACGAGATTTGCCCGTCGGAAAGGGACTTAATTGAGCGCGGTGCATTCCCTCTTCGTAACAACGTTCCCGGGCCAAGATTTATTTTTCCCATTAGGCAGAAACGATATTTAATTTTGCAAACTCCCGTCGCTGAACGCTGCAGTCCGACTGGGGTACAATATTTTTTTTTTTTTTTTTCTTTCGACTTACACTCGTTAAGAGGATTAGTCCCGCTTCTACGCTCGCAAGTTTTTTCCTGTTAGGCGAACATCCCAAGTGCCTTTTAATTATCTTTTGCTCAGAGATTATTAAAAATGTATTTGACGTTAAGGAACCGGTTAAACTACGCGTAATTACTCATAAGGTCTCGTGAATTACTAATGAAGTGTTTGATATACGTGCAATTTACGGTGATACATTCATATTTCATACCGTTTTGTATTTCAGCACCCTGTCCCCGAAATTCTTTTAAGGAATACAAGACGTACAAGTGTTCTGTATTTATTTTTTAGTCCCGTATTTGCATATTATTATATAAATTATATAGCATCAAATAACGTTATCGTTATCGTTATTCGTTATAATAGGTCTCTTGCGTAACATTTTTATATTATTCTTTGTAAGGTATCTCTGCGCTGTCACAAGGTATCCTCACGCTGCAACTTCTTCTGTTAATTTCCCAACGCTATTTCTTTTATCGCACGAATCTATTTTTTTGTTTTGGATTCCTCGGGCTTTTTTATTGCGATGGTTGCATTTCCGTAAGCTTACGCCGCTATTTTTATTACTATAACTTTCTTATCCGGTTGCCTCCTCCGGAATTCTTATTTCACAGACAACGGGAACGGTCCAAGTGGATTTAAATAACAAATTTCATCTTACCGTCCGCGTTTGTTGCCTTTCGTAAAAAATTTCATCGAAACAAGTTCCGTCGTAACGATATTCTCCATAAGGCTGACATTTATTAACATCCCTTCTCCGTAATTCAGTTAACGCTTTCTACCCAACAGGAATCTACCTTCTGCCCTTTTTACCTCCCGCCGCGTCGTTCCACTTTCCTTTAACTTCTCCCGCGCACCTTGCAATTTCTTTACAGTTCCCGGGCAAGTCCCGCGAAATATGTAGCGTCACGATGAAGCGACGATTAGTATGATCCAACTAGAAAGCATGTAAAATATTCCCCGGTGCGAAACTATGTTTAAAGTGATTTTGAAATTTTTACTTTTATTTATTTACTTATTAATGAGTGCACATAAATCAGCTACATGATTAGGATTACAAGTGTTCGTGTGTCAGTGTGTATATATATGTATATATATATTTATTTATTTAAATATTATTTTATTTTCTTCCTTTTTTCTCTAGGACTTTCCGCATCCACTTTGTGCCATCTTAACTCCTTTCAGTATTCCTCTCACTTCTTTGGTTACTCTTTCCATTTCTTTGCATTCTCTTACCGTGTGACTTAAAGTCTCTGGCTTTTCCTTACATAGTCCACAGACTCTTTCAACTGCATAAGTATATCAGATAGATATAAACTGGCTTTCTACAAAAATATAAGAGTACTTGTACACAGTTAAAATTATAGAAAAAAAAACCAGTGAATCGAAACTGGAACATGTACCTTAGCACATTTTTAATAAAGACTTTTATTTCATGTTGTTTGCTAATTTTAAAAAAAAAAAGTGCAGATATCCAATTTTGCTAATTACACACGTCATATGATAGTTCCATTTTAAATGATTGTTAATTTGCATTATCAATGATACTCGTATTCCCTCTTCGTGTTGCCTTAAGGTAAACAAGGCGATTTGTAAAAATCTTTGAATCCGGATTAAAATGTTTACAGTAAGATTTGTTGGGACCGATGTGAAGCATTCGGTAAAGGCAAAGGCGTTTGATCGTTTCTTCGGGCCAAGTTTCCAGCGTAATTTAATAACGTAGGGTCTCTCCGGTGGATAGATGACACGTACAAACAGGCAAAGTGAATCCGAACTGGAGCTGGAGTACGAATCGATGGTCAGAATGCTGTTTGGTACAAAGGCTACTACTCTCTCCGATGACCAAACTCTATTCAGTGTCCTTCATTCCGTCTATCCTCCGGAGGATCGGGGGCCGATCGATTCGCTCGATCGAAGCAAGTGAAACCGCAATGTTCGATCTACCGACTGGCCGTGACGTCGAGCAGGAAGACCTTGAAAGATCGGCTCCTCTCGAAGGAGCATCCGACGGTCTCTCGACGGCAACCGATTCGTACGAATTCATGAAACCGTGCATTAGCTACGCTCGTCGAAGTTCGCGTTAACTGCGCTAATTTCGCCATCAAAGGGTTACGCGATTGGGGAGCGGCGGAGGTTAGCTTCGTGAAAAGATCATTCATCGGGAGACGTCAAACTCGGGATTTAACGGATTACGTCAATCATCATTGATTGACGGGGATTAAACAGATTATATTTGTCGGATAAAACAATTTAACTATTATCTGGACAGTAGCTCGGTACAGCATCGCGGCTCAACGATTGCGTTTTACGTAAATATATTTTATTCGATACATTTTCCCTCAAATAAATGCCGGAACCTGTCGAATTATTTATTAAGGATTTACCACGCGTCCTTAAGGGATTACGTGTATCGAAATATTGGTCCAGTCGTCAAACGGGAGACAAGTTAATCATGGATTTATGGAAGGGCAGTCCAGAGAGTCCTGGCGTGCCGGCCAGGTGCTCTCGATAATTAATATCGAAACGAGAATTTACTTCCTGACGTCGTGCGCCCAATTCATCGGTGATGAAAATTTTCACAGAGGAGCGAAGCTCGAGCTTGTGTAAAACAGGAGTTCAATTTTTGTTTAAACATCGACTATCGACGTGTTTGACAATCGATTCATTTGTAGTAGCCATCTCGGAAAAAGGTTTCATCGTCGCAGGTTGTACCTGAAAAGTCGACGTGCTACGTGCCATTAAGAAGACATTGATCGTTAGTTAACCGAGTAATAATATTCTCACGCGCCTGTACGATTTGCATCTGTGACCAACGGCGCGCAAGAAGTTGCGGAGAAATTGTATGCAGAGGTGCTGAGCAACGTAATTTATTCAAGCTACTTTCGCGCGAACCTACGGATGCTTGTTCATTTGCATATAAATACGCATATCGATACACACACTGAAAACAGGCCCAGATTGTGAAACAAGAGCGAATATACTTCGTGCGAGGTAATTTATTCTCTGCGAGACGATTGCTGAAAAAATGATACCAATTAAAATTTGCGGTAGTTCGCGAAATCAGTGAAATGCGACGAGTTCAACATACAGGGCGTCTCAGCTAAAAGAGACTGCATGAATATCTCCTCTGTTTTTTATGTTACGAGATTTTCGCTTTCGACGCATTCAATTATTCAAATCATACGTATTAAAAATACGTGCTTGTGTGCGTGGAGCAGACGTTCAGCCGCGAAAGTTGAACGCTCACGCTTAACGTTTACGTGCAAACACGCACGCCTGACGCTGCGAGGAAATCCTCCCTTAAGAAGGAAAGCTTGCAAGATGACTGTGTCGATTGAAAGTATCATTGAAGTATTCTCGTGTAAGTTCCTCGTGGAACTCGTGAAACGCGTCGACTGAGAAAAGAACTAAAATTCTCCAGTTCGAGAATTGGTCGTACATTTTTATTCTACTCTCCGTGGAACTTACCGCCGCGTCACCGTTCACCCTTAGAACCGCCTTTCGATTGTAGATAAAGTAAAGAAACGTGAACGTCCTAATAATTTGTCTTGCAAACAGTCGTTGTTCGGTGAACGAATCGTCGCGAGAGTCGCGGACGAAACGCGAGAAAAACGAGCGTCTGCGCATTGCCGGGACGGCGAACTCCTGTAGGAAACGAGACGGATTTCCACGACAGTGCGCGAACCGCCAGCACGCGACGCGGTTGCCCCGACGCCGGTGCCTATCTATTCTACGAAAATCCATCTCCGACGCGCCGTGGTGAACGTCATGTCCCGAGCGTTTAAATTTGCACAAAGGAACACCGACGAAAACTCGATATAAACGATTAACGCTAACAATCGTAAGGGAGAGAAAAGATTCCAGCAGATTTTACGCTTTGTTCCAGCCATTTCTATAAACCTTTTGTTTCGCAAATATGGATTTTATCACCGGCGTAAAGATAATAGGACGGGGATAAATAATTCCCGGAGGGGCGGGCCATCGTCGGGAAATAAAGGGATAACGAGATTACACGACTCCCGTTGCTGGCGAACAATTGAAATCATTAAAATGCAATCACGAAACATCGCTGCTTCTCGGAGGCGCAGAATTAACGAATGCGAAAACGCGATGTAAAACGCAATTTGAGGCTGTAACCCCGGCGACGTACCGTTGCCTTCGGCAATAGAAGGATCCGATGTACTTTTGTATGTAAATCCCGTCCGCGATAACGGATAAAGAAGGAACGTCGATGCGTGGATGCGACCCTCCCGGTAAAATACGAACTCAGTGAGGAGAGCGTGGGTGTTGGTACAAAAAATTGTGAAACGACTTTTGCAATTAAAAGTGACGCGTTTTACTAAAGGGAACAGATCAAAGTAAGAGGAGCAGGCGGACGTATACGGAGAACTGGCGGCACTCGGAGAAAAATGGGACGTTCGAGGCAATATTACATGATTTTACGGTGAGTCGCACCCCTCATCTTCTCATCTCCTTTATCCGACCTGAAGAAGACGCGAAAAAAGTATCGCGTTAAATTTCAACTTTTTCATCACGTTTATCGAGGAACCTAACATCGAGGCCCTCGTAGTTAATAGTTGGACCGGTACGGCACGAGGAAAAGTTCTCCGGCGCGCGATATTAAATTCGTATAAAATGGTGGACGGGAAGCGGATATTATCCAAAAAAAAAACGGTCGGCCGGTTCGATATTAGCTCTGAAAAGTAGCTTGCCGTTCGTTACGTGAGGGAACTGCAATGAAAGTTCGTTCGTTTCATGGCACGCGTCGTCTCGTTCGTCTCTCTAAGAAAATATCCCTGGTTTACGGTCCGTAACTTCCATAAAAGCTCTGTTTATAAAGGTCACCGGGGCCCAGGGAATATCACGCTCGCGAATTTCAGGAAGTTTGCACCGGTACCTATAATTTTTCGGTTAAGCACCAGTAGCACCGAGTTCCACATCTCGTTTCACTCCGGATAGCTCCTATCGCTCCGAAAGCCCAGTTCGGATTCTACGATCTTATCTCCTACGTCTCGAGTATTGGGTGCAAAAAAATCCGATCGGGCGGTGAGAATACTTTATTTACTGAAAGTACCTCTTCCGCATTGTGCGGACAAATTGAGAAATTTTTAACAAATATCGAGATTTTGTCGTTGATGTAAATAACTTTGTAATGCACAAAGCATTTCTTTCAATATCCACTGTGTGATTCTTATAGTCTGTCTTGCCAAAAATGAAGCAGAAATGTCAAATATTTTAATATAATAATAAATATTTCCATCTTTACACAGCATATCTATAAAAATGATTAATATACAATTATTGCATATTTGCGTTATGCATAAACATTTTTGATATCTGATTGTTGATAACAATTCTCATCTTAAAATGAATTTCCTGCGAAGGAAATGTATCTTTCATAGTAATATATACGAGCACTGATCTTCGTTACAAAGTTTCGTACTATGCGTCGCTAGGAGAGATTCTCTTTTAAAGAGAAACTTGTCCCGTCTAATGCATTCTATGCAATAACGAATGTAAAGCGATTATGAAAGTGCGCCGTCGAGGCTCGGTAAACAAATAAACGGGCCAAGTAGAGAACACGGTGAAACGAAGCTTTTAAAAGCCGCGGTGGCGACCCTCGACGGCTCCCATTAATTTTAATAAATGCGATCGATTAAAGTCGGACGCGAATCACGGACGCTGCCATCGTCCATCGGTGCGATTATGAAATACCCGAAACGGCTGACCGGTCACTATTTCGATTTTACCAACGAGTAAAATCGTATTGTTCTCAGGAATTTAATCTTCCGACTCGCTGCGTATCTCAAGACACCCCGCTTTGTCACGTGACTTTTCTAACATTCGCCACTGACGTTTTAACGTTTTTTGTTCTACTTCATCGATAACCAGGCAAAAATAGTGCGAAATATGGATTTAAGGGCCTACACTTTTCGTCTTTATACAGGGTGTTTCGTAAATGATGGGAAAACTTTAGGAATAGATTCCTAATGCTCAGAGAAGAAATACAGGGGGAGTTTACCCCCTGAAACAGATTTTTGACGGTAGAGCTCGATGCGAATTTGGACAGTGAGAGTCTCTTAACATTTACCGAATATTGTACAAAATTTTTGAAGAATGAAATTTCGTGCTAAAGTATCATAAAAATTTTCAGGATTAACCATAGCCATCTTGTCGGAGCAATGAAGCCGCTCGCGGCTAGAATATTAATTATACAAGAGTAATTAACGGGATGTAAAAAAGTGGATAAAAGTAGAATGGGGAGTTAAGCGCTGGGCGTGCTATAATGGCGGTGGAGTTTTACGAAATAAGTGGGACGAGAGTTGCACGTGGCTCGCGGTCAAGGGGTTAATTACTGCTTGTTACATCGAAGATTGCGGTCACTTCGTAAATCCATAATTGGTTGGCTAAACAGGTATTGTGTAGGAGGCAAAGCACCTAATTAAAACAGAAATATCTGCACCGTCGAACGGTGCAGATATTTCTGTTGCTTCTCATGCGAACCTCCAACAGATCATTTCTGTTTATAACCACGTAAGAGCGATGAATATCTTGTGGCCCACGCTAATTTCCTCGAACGTGCATTTGTCGGTGAAATCGAAAGCGTGCATCAAACTCGCGGCCTAAAGTAGTAATCCTTGTTTCCAATACCCCCGGGGAGTAGAATATTCTGTTTCGAGAAGCGCGGAAGCAATCATACGATCCATCAGTGGCGCGAGTTTTCCCTGATACAAAACTTATTTCTCGTGCAAATCCTGAAGCGATCGCCCTACTCCTATCTGCGAGTAGCCGATCTCCTTAGGCATCCTCTCTTCCATTCAGGAATTCTTTGATCCTCGAGAAAAGAAACTGCTTTTCCGCTCCGATTGCAGACAAGGTATAAAACCGATCAATTTTACGGAGATCGGAGCAATAGAGTTTGCTTTACCATATTTAAGGGTATTTAAATAGACAAAGTCTTCCTTGGTTGAAATACTTTATACCCTGGCATCAGTATCGTTTCAATACCTGACGCAAACAAGTTCTTATGATCTTCATACATAATATTCTGACGTAAAAGAGGCAAATTTTCAACGTGAATTTTATTTCTCATTTCTATTCAATTTCTGTATTCACTACTTTTCTTTAGATTTCTTAATTGGAGGGAAAAGTTCTGGCTTTGCCTGTTGATCCTAAATATTTATCTTGTCATTCACGATAAAAATCTAAAATCGAGTTAAGTATAAAATTGAAGTCTGATTGATAATTAGGGATAGGGTTTTGCATATATTTTATTTAATAATAATTATGAGTAGTATCTTTTGTAAAGGTTTAAATAAGTGGAATACATTATTATATGCATCAACACATGCAATCATACCATAAGTTGCAATTATCTAAAAACGAAGAACAGGTATCTAGTTTTACTAATTACATACATTATGTGACAGTTTCAATTTAAATAACCATCGCACCCTCAGGTATTTTCTATTCTCTTGATTGGATCTCTCTCAATATTTGTATCTAATTCCTGTGGCACATTGTGACAACAGCGACCAAATGCAATGTACACAGTATTAGAGACATTTAGACACTATTAATTTAACGCGATCTAGTGAGATACTTTTAGGAAACATTTTTACATTTTAGTTACGATTCACGTTGGACCGTAGCTGAATATTATTGCGCCATCGTAATTTATATAATTCATAAAATAATTTAATAACGCATATCTTAATTGTTTGATCGCATTAACGTATAGTAAATTCAGTCACGGTTCGTGTCAACAACAGTTTCATTCGCAGTTCGGGCTGCACATGTATAATTCAACTCGCGCCCTCACATTACTATCTTCGTCGCGTCGCCCCATGATGGGTTGTTCGCTATTAGTCTCCGTCCTTCCTTCGTGACATTTCTCACAGGGAACGGACAGGCGTGGTGCCACAGAGGAAGGCCAAGAGAAGAGACAGAGAGAAAGAGAGAGAGAGTAAGTCTGATTGATAATTAGGGATAGGGTTTTGCATATATTTTATTTAATAATAATTATGAGTAGTATCTTTTGTAAAGGTTTAAATAAGTGGAATACATTATTATATGCATCAACACATGCAATCATACCATAAGTTGCAATTATCTAAAAACGAAGAACAGGTATCTAGTTTTACTAATTACATACATTATGTGACAGTTTCAATTTAAATAACCATCGCACCCTCAGGTATTTTCTATTCTCTTGATTGGATCTCTCTCAATATTTGTATCTAATTCCTGTGGCACATTGTGACAACAGCGACCAAATGCAATGTACACAGTATTAGAGACATTTAGACACTATTAATTTAACGCGATCTAGTGAGATACTTTTAGGAAACATTTTTACATTTTAGTTACGATTCACGTTGGACCGTAGCTGAATATTACTGCGCCATCGTAATTTATATAATTCATAAAATAATTTAATAACGCATATCTTAATTGTTTGATCGCATTAACGTATAGTAAATTCAGTCACGGTTCGTGTCAACAACAGTTTCATTCGCAGTTCGGGCTGCACATGTATAATTCAACTCGCGCCCTCACATTACTATCTTCGTCGCGTCGCCCCATGATGGGTTGTTCGCTATTAGTCTCCGTCCTTCCTTCGTGACATTTCTCACAGGGAACGGACAGGCGTGGTGCCACAGAGGAAGGCCAAGAGAAGAGACAGAGAGAAAGAGAGAGAGAGGAAGAAAGAGGAACAGAGAATATGAGTTTACGCTGCGGCGTGCGGTAGGTCAGGGGGTCGAGAGGTCCACCCTTACGTGGAACCCTTCCACTACGCTCTGTCAAACCGGGGGTTGCCTATCGGAAGTGTCAGGCGTCCTCTGCTTCGGTTCCACCCTCTTCTCGCTCGAAATAAAACGGTGGGCGGAATTATGTGATATCCGCTGAATGTATCCGCGCGCCTACTCGGCTCTTGACAAAGTCTGTCGATATCCCAATACCATCGAGCTAGTTAAAATATATGAGACGATCAGCTACAACTAGACCAAGGAGTACTTCGATTTACATTGTCCATCCCTTGGCTCGACATTGTTCTGCTCGTGGCTATGAGAAACGCGACTCATTTGCAACGTTATTACATCAGTAGCTGAAGTTCCCAAACATGTCAAATCTTGTAAAATCATGGACTATTGTGTACTCTGAAGGTTCAGAGGAATATAATTAGAAAGAGACGCACACATCCAGCTACTGTAATGTAGGCAGTATAGTATGTGCACAAGTGTACGGATACAATCTGAAAATACACTTCCAATTTCACGTATAATATTGGTTGTCTAGAGAGTTCATTCATATCTTTGATGACTGGATTACGACAGGTCTGAGTATATCAGAATGACTGGAAGCCAATAACACGTGTACATATTTCAAAAGGTGATATTTCAGGCGTCTTTAAGAAAAGCCATTATTCAGTGTGATTATGCAGATATTTAATAAAATATCAAAAGTTTGCTACTTAAAAAAAGAAAGTTTAAGGTGCAGTATAGAATGAACATAATCTGTTGCATTCAGTCTTATTGAGATCTTTACGAAATCTTGTAAAATTTAAATACGCTGCCTTCTATACAAAATGGGAACGAACTGTCTGGACAAACTGGAAGAAGATCGAAACGGGGCGACGTCAATCTCGCGATGTGCGTATTAACTTCGTACTACGTCGATTACTAAAACGATAAACTAGAGGGGAATCATCGTTGACGAGGAAACCAGAGATAGGAAGGTACTTTACGTAACGCGAAGGGAGGCGAATACAGTTAAATCCTATTGTTTAATCTCTGTCGTCGTTTACGCGTACTTAGCTCGTTGCCGAAGCAAGGTCAGAAGTTTCTCTCCCGAACGATGGAAGGATAGTAGAACTCGTTGATTGACATCCAGCGTTATCCAGTTTGCTTACGTTAAGGTGGTTCTGCATATTAAAATTACGAACTCAAGCGAATGTGCATACTGAGAGTTTGCAAAATCTCAGTTTGACATACATTATCATAGTTTATTAAATTTTATTTTGATTTTGCAAGCAAATTAATGCAGTTATACAGGGTGAGTCACCTAATGTTTGCACGTCAAATATCTTTTCTGTTTTTAAAGATACGTCAAACGTGGTTCAATGGGGCTTGCACAATATTTTTGTTTTTACGTCAATTACAACTTAATTAAAATCTGAATCTTGCATAGATCTGTGTCTTGCATTTTAATAGAATCCTCGTAAGCGTCCAGTGTTTTCTTCTTTAACTATTCCACTGTTGAACTCCAGATTTGAAATCAGATGCAATAACTATTAAGCTGAAATTCCCTGGACTTTGTTAAACAGTTTAGTTGTGCTCGCAAGCACGTATTCCGGAAATCTGCTCGTTTCTACAATTTTAGTTGTCCTTGTTGGTATCAGTAATCGGGGTCTAATGGGTAAAACAGGATAGGAACAAGAATACTAATTATAAGCATAGTATAAGTACATATAGACAAAAATGAACATGAGTAAAAGTATTTCTCGTTAGGAAGTAACTTGCGACATTTCTTGAGAGAGCAATTTGCAGAAACGTGTATACTTCTATGCAAATACTGATGTAACTTACTCTCTGTTATAATTCGTGAAAATAATCTCTATACTTCTTGCTCAATAAATGTCGGTGGTGTCTACGTTACTCAGAATGTAAAATCCTGTGAGAAGGCATCATCTTAGGTCTGTTCAAACTCGGCGGATTCAACGTTCTGCTGTTGCTGCGTGTATTATGACAATTATTTTGAAAAAGAAAAACGAAAGAGTGTTAGTGTAGAATTGGATACAACGATCCCTTCAGTGATTCCCTTTACATTGCAATGTTACTCGCCGCTCATGAGCACGCGTCTCGCTCACATGCGTCACGTGATTATCATCGATTCCTGTCCCTTCTACTGATGCGAAATTTTTATTGCTATCCTTACAACCAAGCGTCATTGCTTTTTGATTTCAGATGATGAGAAACGGGCAGGACGGTTCGCCGAGTCGTCGAAACAGCGACGGCGACTGATTATGACGCGGGTCCGCACGCGCCGCTATCTCTCTCGTCTCCTCCTGTCATTCTTATCCTTCGAGACCTTCCATCTTCACCGCAACCTGATCCTCATCATCCTCGGCCTCGTTTGCGTTCCCAGCGTTCTGCCGTGCAGCGAAAAGACGAGGCCCCAGAGTCATGACCTCGCCGTTGCCGCCACCGCCTCGTTTCCTTGCATCGTCGACGCCAGTGAAAGAAAATATTCCCGGCGGGATCGCGGCGAGCCGCCGGGCTTCAGCCGCGACCACGAGCTTCCCGACGGCACGGATAAACAGCCAACAGGAATCGACGCAGGGAACGAACGGAAAAGAGTGCATCGGGCGATAGGAAATGTCGAATTATTCGATGCCGTTTCCGATTCGGTGAATCACCGTGTTAGCGAGTCGCCTAAACGACACGGGAAAAGGAAACTACGGCGAAAGAACGATGTAACGGACACTATCAATGATCCGAATAACGCGAGCAATCACGATAAGAGGGCGAAAAGGAACTTTGGCAAGAGGCGAAAATTGGGTGAGAAAGTGGCGGCGACGGCGGCGGATTCGAAGGAAAAGCTCGATTGCGACGAGTGCGAAGAGTTCGCCGTTGATCCGAGGTCTGCAAGGAGAAGCAGAGCCGATAGGACAGTGGATAATCCCGAAGCGGAAGGAAACAACGGAGACGGGGTGAATCAGCCGATAGAAGCTAGTGGCGATCTGTCGTTGCTGGCCGCGAACGAGAGTGCGGAGGAACCTTTCACGGGGTTTGAGGGCTCGCAGAAATTTCCTATAAAAGTCACGTACAAACCACCCGTCGCGCCTCAAGTGGAGAAGTTCGACAGGCGGCACTTCGGCCCGCCGAAGCTAGACGTTCCGGAGTCCACCGACGCTTCGTATCCTGCGACGTTGTCGCCGGACTTACCGAAGAGCCCTGGCAGAGACGTACTTCACCGCCATCGTAAGGTGGACGAGAGTCTGGAAGAGGAGCGAAGGCAGGAAGCAGCTATCGAGAACGAGAGGGTCAACGAAACGACCGCGTACGACAGCTGGTTGCCAGGTGCGTCTTCTGGCCGGCAGTCCTCGAACCTAGCCGCTGGGAAACCTTCTTTGGAAGAGAAACACGTTTCACCGACGTCCGCTTCGACGTTGACACCCACTACTGTCGAGGACGCGGAAAACGGATCACGTGTCGTTTTCTGGGAAGAGGAGGCGACCGGTGTTACAATGCCGAACGTGACGTCGTTCGAGAAGATAAATATAACAATTTTGGGTCTATTCGAGATGACGCGAGGCGCCGAACCGAGACCGGAAGGACCGAGCGAGCTACAAGCTGCCAGGCTGGCCATCGAACGCGTCAACGAGATGAACGTCCTGTCCAAATTCAGGCTCCGTCTTATCTACAATGACACCAAGGTAAGCTGGAAATATGGGATGAATAATGTAACAACTTCGAATAACTCGTAGGTATTTGTTTCACGATAAGAAGTTTTAAGCAGACGTTGCATGGCTTGCAGGAAGAAAGTTCTCTGATATGCTTTTTGTTTCTTTGCTCTTTTTATACTTAGGGTCATCTTTCGTATTTCGGACAGAATGTCTAATACAGTGAACGTGAAAATCATCCAAGATACGGGATTACACTTTTCGTCATGAGGTATCTCTTTGGAAAGAGGAAAATTAAATCTAACGTGCTCTGGCCTTGATTTTATTCAGAACAATCTCTTTTGTATATAAAATTGTTAATAAACAATGGTATTATAATTACGATTTTTCATCCACTTTATAACTCTTATATTACTAAATATCAGAATGTTATAATTACTCCAGAATTAAAGAGAATAAACTCGCGTGCTCGATACGAGTTTGCTTGTTTCGTTATACTGTTTAATATTACTTTATTCGTAATTACGTGCTGGGTTCGGTAACAATAACTAGTTTTATAGTTAGGTCAGCAAATTCGATGAGTGAAAATTTTCCATGGCACCGCAAACTAAAATAGGGAATGGCAGCGTCGGCTACCTATGTGTGTATATACGTATTTCCTGACGTTTCACCTGAACACTACACGTGCACTTGTCACCCCAAACGGTTTCTTTATGCTCGGAAAGACGATTTAGGAACGCGAGATCGGGGCAAACACAGCGTTTGAAAGCACGAAATAACAGGTACCGTGGAGACGTTTCCACTGTTTATGAAACTCTCGCTCAATCTTTTCCCCAGTACGTGTTTTCGCATGAAAAATCGAGTCATCGGCTGGATTACGCTATGCATCGCCCTGCAATTATTCAACGTGTTTATATGAAACTGCTGTTCTCGCAGAACTGTAAAGCTGTTTTATTTCGATGGAACACGAAATTCGTACGAAACAAAGGAATAATCAATGAAGTCACGAGTTCCACTGTCCTTAGTAGCCTGCGTAAGTTTACGCAAAATAAAATATTTATGGTATCACTCTAAAAAATATGAAATTTTTCAGCTTCTGATATTCTGCATAGTTTCGTACGTTACACGTACTCTTCATAATTTTTGCACATTCTCTGTTCTTATAAATCCATAAAAAATCCGCTTTTTAGTTGTTGACATCTGTACAACCTTTGTGCGAAAATTCTCAACAGAAATCGTACGATACGGTACAGAATTTTACTTGTAAATTAGCTTTGTATTAATTTGCTAATTAAAATCTCCGTCTACCGCGAGCTCGACAGTGACGCGGCTAAAAGAGAAAGGGTGCACACGGCCGCTGCAACGCGAATTAAATTCGAGTTAAAGGCGTCCGTGACGTAAAGGATAGTAACTGTCCTGTTTGACGGGAACACGTATGGACGGAGAACGAAATTTTACGACTTCAACGTTTATTAGATCCGACCGTACGTCGTTGACCAAAGCATTCCAACAACGGATAGATAATCCGTTGTTGTTATATTATACGAGACGTGAAATATGCGAGACGCAGTATGAACAAAATAATGTGAGATGCATTCACAAAATCAATTAGAGACGTCCAATCGCACGTAATGTTGAATTTATGTCAAACCAATATGCGGTATGCATTGTACTCGACGCACATTTGATTGCATACTTGCTTTATCGTAAATGTATGTGTAACTAATAATTAATTACATGTATGCATATAATATACAGGGT